TCTCTCTAAAACAGATATTTTGATTTTAAAAATATTTTCTCTCTCATCAAAACGAGCTGATTTCTTTAAATCAGTTGTCTGATCGGCCCGGCCGATCGCCAAATCGTCCCGGGACAATCAGACCAGAAAAATCGTCCTGGACGATCCTGAGAGGAAAAATCCAAATCTGAGAGGAACTGTAAGGGAACGAGGTCTCACAACTACCTCCTCTGACTATGTAGACTAGGGTTTAAGATGACATGGGATGACGGAACCATGAGATCTTTATCGGGTTCATATCCCCTCCCTCCCACCATTTGCTTTAAGTGAGAAGTTATAAAATTTCTAATTTTAAATATCTAGATCAGTTGTTACTATACGTTGGATACTAAGTATTAATTTAACGACTAGCCTTAATCAAAAGTATTATCTCATTATCGGGAGGGGTTATTAATTATAGGGGTTTACTCCTATAGGAAACCAAAGCTCAAATTTTATAGTCCTTGTTAAGAGGGTAAAATATCTACGCAGTATCTTATCTATATATCTAATCTACCTTCCGAAATTTTTTTCCTAGAATTTAATTCATTAAAATTCTCCCCAAATATAACATGGAGAGACCAAGGCACCTAAAGCTTAAATTTTGGGAGCCCACACTATCAACTAATCGTAAGAAAAAATTGTGCGGTCATTTTCTAGTTTTGAACTTACTTCCTGCAAGAAATCCGCAACCCCTTTTCTCTCCGGGCATTTGAAGCCCATCAATTCAAAGAATTCAAGGACATTCTCACGAGGGCCATGGTACACAATTTGAGCATCCGAGAGAAGAATTATATCATCAAAGAGGTCAAATGTTTCTGGTGCTGGCTGGAGAAGGGAAATAACAGCGGTTCCATCAAGTATATGTATATATTGTCTCAATGAGCTGACAATTTGGTAAGTTGTGGAGGTGTCAAGTCCTGTGGATATCTCATCCATGAACAAAGCACTTGCTGGTCCAACAATCATCTCACCTGTCAAAGATTGGTGATCAGGATGGGTGATTCAAATTACCAGACAAGTTGTCAAGATTCATTTAGACGAGGGAGAACAAGTTATGATTGGCAAGTTATTAGCTAAAAAAGTTGTATGTTTTTCCTTTTAACCTGTTGTAACTCTTTTCTTCTGTCCTCCAGAAATACCTCTAATCATCTCATCTCCAATCATTGTGTCAGCACAGATGTCCAGCCCTAAAATCTGTTGTGAAATACCACCATGTTGAAGTCTTTATTTATCAAATCCATTTTTTCTTAATTGAATGAAAAAGGGATAGGTTTGATCAGAAAACTTTTTACCTTTAGTACATAATCAGTTACTAGACCCGTCTCTTGTCCTTCCATTGAACTTGCCTGCAGGTCATCTACGTTAGCTTAATTGGTTAACCATTTGTATTAATTAGTAACTTAATAATTACACAATAATACATATTTGAAACACACATAGCTCTCTACTCCTATTTCACGCACATAAAAAGGTTGAGGAAAAGAAAAGATCACTCCCTAACCTTCATAAAGACATCAACGTCAGGGTCTGGCTTTATATTTGCTGCTTTCTCTCTCCTTGAAAGCTCTGCCAACATATCTGTTTGCCAACACATTGGATAAACTGACTATAGTCATCCTCTTGTATATCTTTAGACTAAGGCTTCGTTTGGATCTGCTTTCTTACTGTTTTTTAAAGCAGTTTTTTAAGTACAAAAATTAAAAATTTTTTACTAGAAAACTGCTTTAAGAAGCAGTAAAAAAATTGTCCCAAACGAAGCTTAAATCCCACATGCTGTAAAATGCTTGATCAAGCTTACCATAACGTTTACCAACTCCTTGACACCTTGCAGAGAATGATAGTGTTTCTCGAACCGTCATTTCTCCGATATGGACATCATACTGGCTGATATAGGCAGCATTTCTTTGAGGTACAAACTTATTCATTTCTTGACCATTGTAAGTCACTCTTCCTGAAACCTTCACATCAGAGTCCAATTTTCCAGCTAGAGCCAGCAGTAAAGTGGTCTTCCCTGAACCAGGAGGTCCTAAGAGTAGAGTCATCCTGCAGTTTACAGCATATAAGAAAGAAATAAATTCTCAGCTCAGGTATTTTTATTTCTGCAACAACTGAAATTGCTGGTGTACCTTCTAGGCTTTATGAGTCCACTAACATTATGAAGTAAGGTTAATGGTTTCTTCCTGCTTGGTAGAATGTGAAGGTTGTTGGCAAAAGCCTTTATCGACAAAAGGAGAGACAATTTGGTCAGCATTCTTTAAAACTAGATACCTTTTTTGCAAATATTACCAAACTGAGGAGAATTTTAGACAAATCTCGCTTTCAATTGGTTCATTACAAGTAACTATTAAACTCTCTGATTACCTCAAGCACGTTTTTGACAGAATTGAGCAGCGTAGGCAATCCTCTGTTGCCCACATATGCTTCAGCTTTAACATTAAGGTTCTCATACCGTACTTCGATGGTTGGCAATTCAATCCCAACACTGCAACAATATTGAAATCAAGAACCAGAAATTATAAAAATAGGTATAAGGAAGCCATGTAAATGATTTAATTATCTTACTTATCAATCCTGTTTCTGATTCTCAGCAAGAACTTCTCATTATCATCATCTGCCACTCTCACCAACTTCTCCAACAACTCCCTCCTCTCCAGAAACCCGAGACTCTCTATATCAACTTCCTTCTTACCTCCTTCAGCCAAGTTCAGAATGCCTTTCCTCATTCTATTGTAAGTCGGCAGCCTCTCGATGGCTGCCCATGTTAGATCCTCCTCGTCGTCTTCACTGTGCCTGGACCTTGAGAAGACCTGATCTCCATTCCATATGGAAGAGCGGCGGGACCTTGAGCTTGTGGCACGCAGAACAGACCCAGCTTCCATTTCAATGAACACCTTTCCTTCTCTCTTGAATGCAATGGACAAGAAGTAAAAGATACCAAGAAAATGAGATTGTTTAGTATGGTAAGAAGAACGATTCTGATGAAGTTTGAAAAAAAATATTTTGGAATGGAAGGGTTTTAAAAAGGTTCAAGCATAGCGGAAACCATTATGAAGGACAACTGCTTTACAGTGAAAGGTTTACCCTTCATAATGTTGATATCCTGCATTTGATGATGTTGGGTTTATATCAATTTATAAGACACATTAGAATCTTATTAATAAAAAAGCAATAAGAACATAGAGAGAGACAGAGATAGAGAGTGTTGAAGTATACTAAAGCTTCGCTAGCGATGGCTTCCTTACTACTTCTTAAAATAATTTTTTAGTACAAAAATTTTTAATTTTTATACTTGAAAACTCCTTTAAGAAGCAGAAAAAAATAACGAAGCCTAAATTACTAATCATATCCTGCGGCAGCTTAATTTGGCTGGCTCCACTTTCCTGAACCTGCGTTATTCAATTTTAATCTCTGCCATCAGCTTAAAGTGTTACTATCTTCTTCTATAAAGCTTTACTGCAGACTGTAATAGAGAACACGGTAAAAAAGTTAAAAGGAAAAAGTTTCTGTTGTTTAGTTTTCTATGCATTTTTACTTTCTTCTTTCTCTTTGATGTAAGTTTTTAGTACTGTGATAATATTTTATCAGAGAGAACTAAAGAAAATAGTTCTGAGATTTTACTAGAATAATAACAATAAATAAAGTTTCATTGATTCAGTACACGATCACTAAGAAAATAAGAGATCACTCAATCTTTCCACAATCTTTCATACAATATTCAAAAGAAAATTTATCGAATGCATCTTCACTAACAATTTTCTTAGAAGATTATATATATTCATCTTCAATGTAGCCAATATTCTTCTCTTGGCCTATCAGATCTAGGGGTGAAAATGAGTCGAGTCGAGTTCGAGCCAGGAGGTATTCGAGTCGAGCTCGAACTCGTGTCGAGCTCAAAATCCGAGCTCAAGCTCAACGAGTCTTCATGTCAAGCAGCTTGTCGAGCTCTGTTATTGAGCTCCACTGTCGAGTTCCGTTGTCAAGCTTGTAGTCACGTCCGCTGTCGAGAATCATCGTCCTGAGCTCGTTCGTCGTCTTCTCGAGCTCCGCTGTCGAGATCCATTGTCCCGAGCATCACTATAGACCGTCGTTGTCCCGAGTGTAACTGTCTACCGTTGTCTTCCCGAGCTCATAGTTGCATCCGCCATCGTTTTCCCACTCACATTTTGGATTTCCCGCTCGCGAGCTCTGCCGTCTAGCTGCTCGACGAGCTGCTGAGTCGAGCAGCGGCCTGTTCGAGCTCGATAAGCCGTCGAGCTCAAAATCTTGTTCGAGCTCGACTTGCGAGCTCGATAAGCTCGACTTGCGAGCTCGATAAGCTCTACTCGTCGAACCTGTTACCGAGTCGAGTCCGAGCCGGCTCGCGAGTCGGCTTGACTCGTTTGCACCCCTAATCAGATCTGATCAACATTTTTTCTTCTGAAGCTCTTCCAACACCTCACATTTGGTCTTCTGATGGAGGATATCCAATACCTCACCACAAAGCCAGACCAATAAATTTCATTTCTAAAGCTATTAAACTCTCCTCACTTATTACTGCATCTAGTTAGAATTTTGGGCAGTTCTTTTAGCGTAGCTCAGCTTCTCTTCATTCGGCAAGCTTTAGGCTTCGTTTGGGACAGAGTTTTAGTGCAATTTTTTTTTATTTTTATACTAAAATTTTGTTTTAAAAAATAATAAAAAAATCGTCCCAAATGAAGCATTAATCTTTTCAACAGACTTTTTATTTCGCTGGATTTTTAATCTTTTCTTGACCTGAACAGTGGTAATGAATCTCTTTCTTCTCATTTTTAAGCTCTCTTTTGATAATCTTAGACGGATACCTACCCATGAGTTTTCTCCCTCGCTTTATCAACCATATTGTCCGCCTTACTTTGAAAAGTCAAAATTTATTAGAGCTTTTTCTTCAAATGTATAATGTCTCGTAGCATTTAGCTAAACAAGATACTTTAATTTATGGATTCATTTGGGACGGCCTAAAACTCCTTTTTAAAAAGCACTTTTTTTTTAAAAAAATAATAAAAAAGTTGTCCCAATGAAGCTTGGGATGGCTTTCTTACTGCTTCTAAAAGCAGTTTTTTAGTGCAAAAATTTTAATTTTTGTACTAAAAAACTATTTTAAGAAGTAATAAGAAAGTTGTCCCAAACGAAGCCTAAATCAAATAAGAAAAGTGATAAGTTCTTCATGTTGTGCACTAGCTATCTGTCCATTCTCTTGACAGTAATGTTTTCGTTTTCTTCGTCATTTTTATTAGTGTAAGATTATTTAATTTTTTTATCATGATATAAATCCTATTATAAATTAAGGGGCTATTTGGCAACAAGTGGGATTTAATAAATCCTGTAAATCCGGATTTAGTAAATCCGAAATGTGTTAAATCCTAAAAACTGTTTGGTATGTTAAATGTTAAATCTTGTTAAATCTTGAGAAACTGTTTGGTAACATATATCAGGATTTATGGCGGTTAGGGATTTAAGTTTAAAGGAGATATTTATGAAATTAAAATCATTGCATAAAACATAATAAAATTAATTTTAGGTCATATAAAATGACCAAAAATTCAATACAAAGTTAATTACAAACTAACATTGACCAAAATGAGAGTTGAAATATTAAATAAGCTAATTATATTAATATTTAATTACTAATTATATAATTAATTAATCAATTAACTTAAATTAGATAATTAATTTATGCACTAATTCTACTTTTAATTATTTAATTAATTAACTTAATTATTATTTTCTTAAATTATATAAATTAAGTTAATCGATAATAACTTTGAGGCATTTAATTTTAAAGGAGATATTTATGAAATTAAGATCATTGCATAAAATATAATAAAACCAATTTTAGGTCATATAAAATGACCGAAAATTCAATACAAATTCTCCCTTTCGCGCGCTTCTAATGTTAAATCCACCAAACCGAAGGATTTAGTAAATCCGTGATTTAAGCCGTAAATCCGTAAATCCGGGATTTACGGAATCCCGGGATTTAACGCGCGCACAAAAACCGTTTGGCTGGATTTAGCGTAAATCCGACTTAAATCCCACGATAAATCCGATACCAAACAGCCCCTTAGAGATCTAATCCATAAAGCTGCTAAGACATTTATCTTATTATATGTAGTCAGTAATTCATGTCATGATTATTCGATAAGTTTTATATTATATGTCGATTATCTAACACAATGCTCGGGGGTAGAATCAACGAAGAGCTCATAGTTAGCAATTGCCCACTCTAAATATTTTTGCAAGAAAATTAAATATTTTAATTATTTTGACCACTTTCAATAAATGCAGTCGCCAAATTAAAAAAAAAAAAAATTTCTATTTCATATATGAGATAATACATTTCACAATTATCCACCATTAAAAAGAGGTTAATTCCACCCCTAATAATGCTCCACTTCATTTTTCTCATTTCAAGCTTGAGACCTAACAGAACAGTGCTAGACTTGTGTACACATATATTAAAAAAAAAAAAGAGAGAGAATATTTGTCCGCTTAATTTATTTTATACTGTTTATTATGCTGTAATAAATTTAAATATTTCCTAAGATGTTTATTTTGTTTTATAAAATCGACGTCAAGAGAGATTACGAACAGCTCGCTATAGTTTTTCTCGTAATTCACTATACTGAAAATCTCCATTCAGCCTTCTCATTGAAGGTTAAACGTCAAAAAAATTTTAGCTGTTGGTTTTATTATATATATATTTCCTGAAAAGATAGATTATTTTATTATAAAGATAGATTATATATGAATGAAAAAGACAAAATACGATGAAGTTCAAAAGAAAATGTCTTATCAGGAAGAACAGCACCAATATCCCTGTAGCTGCTGAATTTTTATTACATCCAGTGAACGTACGCTCCTTTACGTTCAGTTTTAGACCAAAACAGTGCAATACCAAGTTTTTTTAAAAAACTCGGTACAACTCGGTACTCGGTATTGCGCTTTTTTTGCCTAGATCCGAACGTAGAGGAGCGTACGTTCACTGGATAAAATAAAAGTTCGTAGCTGCTTGACCAATTTTATTGTCATCTTCAGGTGTTAATATTGGACCCGATCTTAAAACTCGATCCAAATCCGACCAGAAAATTTCGGATTTGGGTTGACCAGAACTTGAAACGGGTCGGATTCGGGTTCAACAATTCTACCCATTTCAAAAATCGGATCAGGTTCAGGTTCACCCGTTGACCCAAAATTTACCCGAAAATAACCCGTTTTTGACCTGAAAACCCTTTTTTTTACCCGGTAACCCGAGATTGACCCATTTTTTACCCGAAAAGCAGAGTTTGATCCATTTTTGGACCCGAAAACTGGCAATCTTTTGTCTGACCCGAGTCATTCTGGTCGGGTGGGGTTGACCCGGACCCGAAGCGGGTCGGGTCCAGAAAACCAACCTATTTGCAGAAATGGTTCAGGTTTGAGTTGACCCGAATAGTGCCCAAAATTGACACCCCTACTTCTTGTAAGATAACCGACCTCCGGCTTCCAAGTGAGCTCTCAACCTGGTTGATTTCTCCAGACTAGAAAACCTTTCTGCTCAGAATGTCATGCATCTCCTTTACTATTGTTCTAAAGGTGGCTACGACATTAGACTTGTCAAGGGCAGATGTCTCCATGAAGAACTGCAGGGGCGGAACCAGTCTTAATTCTCAGAGGGCAAGTGACAAACTTATAAGGAAATAAAAAAAATATAAATAAGAGTGTTAAAGATAATTATTTATTTTATACATAATAAATTTTCACAAACTTATTTGTTAGTGTTAGAAAAGTTAGCATGATAAGATGAAAATAGCGGGAGACCAAGCTAGAGGCTTTCCGATGTTTGGAGGGACAAATTGTATGAAAAAAGGGCAACTGAGGGCGG